GTATCGCCCATCCCCCCATGCAATAGCCATCATGCAATACTTCAGATTGCTATAGTTGTTATAGCTTCTTTTAAATCGAAGAGGACGGTTGAAGATATTTTGCTATGATGCAGGTTTGTTGGGCATAAGGAACCACTGTAAAAGTGGAGACTCGAACCACGCCACCTCGAGTATTCTTTCGAAAGTTTACAACTTCAACAAAGTAAAAAAAATACCTTGCCACCTGCAAACTTGAATTACATATCTTTGACCCTCTAAAAAGCTGAGGTATTGAAACACACACATCCAGCAATTACCACGGGCAGGGATTAGAACAAAAACTTTAAACTGGGGGTACAAAAAAGTGGGAAATGAGGCCTCCCCCTCTGGTTTGCATGCACTGGCTGAGGTAAAACACCTGGTAACGTGGACCCCGGGTCTTCTGCAGCTAGCTGTGCGTGGGGACTCCAACGAGAGTTTTACTGTACGGAGCTACGGAGGCCGCTGGATGAAGCGAGGGTGAGCGAGTGATAGCAGATGGGCCAAGCTCTGCGGGAAACTCCCCTGATGGACTGGCTTACCAGCCTTAACAGCTTTCTGTCAGGGGCTCCAGGGAGATGTCCAAGCCTTTTAATGACTCGGCTGGCCAGAAACCGAGCACGGGAATGGGCTGGAATTTTATGTGCATTCGTTTGTAGATCTACATGCGATGAGCTATTGGAAATGCCGCACGCTGACAAGGGCGTATGGATTTAAAACTATCGCAGAAGTCATAAAGCGTTTACTAAACTGGTATGAAACACACACAACTATAAACTAATAGACCTACTCATACAAATTTACTCCTACACCAGGAAAGAAATGAGAGATGTCTTGCAAACCCAAATGATGGAACTAACATGACCACGAGAGACAATATGACAAGTCTTTATGGGCGGAACTACAAACTCTGTCAAACGTCAGAAGCTAAGCTTCACAGCAAAAACATACAGGGTCCAAATTTAATTCTGACGCCATAATGACCTCAACAGCAGCTATTTTGGCGGGCTAACCAACATTTACTATTAGCAACATCCCTTGTTGTTGAATAAGAAAACGAATGTACCAAAAAACTACACAGAGAACAAACACTGCAAATTGCACGCACAACTGCAAGCCTCAACACCCGACATTTTGTCCCGTTCAGAGACAAAAACCGTGAAGTATTTTATTCACACATGGTAGAGCCGACAAACTTGTGAATACATGAACAGAGATTCGGAAACATTGTTATAATCTTAATGGTTATAACTTCCAAGTCGTATTTTTTTCAGAGCACCCCTTTTTCACTCCGCTGACCTTAGAAAATTCCCAAGTAAAGCTCCATTAATCCTTACCTCGGATTTACATATCAATGCATATTGCAGGTGTACAACTTGCTGTAGGAATAACAAATGAATATTTTTCCTCTTTAATGTAATGCTAAATGTGCCGTTACTTTGTGCGAACGTAATTGGCCCCACGAACTGGCAAAAGTGTTATTTGTGCGCCGTTTTTTTTTTAATTCTCTCTCCGTGATATTTGGGGCAGTTGTTAAAGAAATGTTTTGAATAGAACGGAAGGGCACGGTAGACCACCGAGAGGCAAGTTACGTCACGCAAGCGATGTTTATCAAGAAACGAAGGGAGGAGAAATGGCATATTTAAAGAAGGAGTCACTAATCCGTCTCCAAGGAGACATGGGAATGTACGCGTAAGGTGTTTGTTGATTAAGAGTGACGGCGGCCATCTTGCGCAGGGCCAAGAGCACATGCGGGGCCACTCTTGCCTGCACCCTGCTCATATGCCACCGCTTCCTACGCATAGCCCGGCGCTGGCTCGCGCCGGCCTGCTGCAATGTTTGCATAATCCGTTCTTGTACAAACGGGGCGCTGAGTTCCTCAAACACGACGGTAATTAAAGAAATCGAATAGCAAGAAATCACCACCGTCGAATCGGGCGGTGCAATATGTACACTATTCCAATTCGTCTCTTCGAGTCTTCCTATACATACAATAATGATGACACGCATCTTGCATGCACCACTCACATCAAAGATGTATGCATCCACTTATTATTTAATACCACTGACGTTTCGTTTTATATTTTCGTTTTGCTCCCATCAAGAGAGGACCTTCATCAAAATTAGTGGTCTATTTTTAGCAACCCCAGTTATGCAAATAAGATGGTGCTCATTAGGCCAAGTGAAGAGGTTACACATAGAATTAAATACATGTCCTAGGGAGAGTAAAACAAAAACAAAATAAGAACACACCAGAGAGATATCATGGGTACCGGGTATGGAATCAGGCTTTTAGGTGCAATTGGACTAAGTTTCCGCCCCAATGAGGGAAGTTCTGGGAGAAGTATCGCAGGTTTTTTGCCAGTTTCATTTCTTTACAATTCCACCTGTTTCACAAGCCTATCCAGTAACGCAATCAGTGTATCCATATGTTGCAGAGTATGTTGTACGTTAGAACAATAGCTGACATTGCTGTGTCTAAATAAACAAAAGTACATGATTACACAATGGTATCCTAAATAGCCTACTACTTCGGTGTCAAACGGCTACATGCAACAATGCATATATGATTTACGTCACCATACCTGAAAAACAAATTCGCCAACTATGTTTTGCAATTCTGTACCTATATAGAATACCGTTGAAAACTGGTGGCTGTCCCTTCTAATCCTTGGGGAAATAATGCCCACTTGTCACTGTCCAACATAAAAACACCAACTGTTTTATCATGTTGACGTTCGGGAATTGCAAACGGCAACTGAATAGTGTTCGGTAGGTTCTGTGTACAAATTTTATTGGAAGCCAAGGACGATGTTCGGTACAGCCGAATGTTCGGTATAGCGGTGTTTGGTATAGCGACGTACTGGGCGATACACGCGACGCGCAAGGCAACACAGCCAGTCTCGATTTGTCTGCCCATGACTTTTACGCCAGGTGCTACCATACATACATTACAGCATGCTTTAACACGGTTAGTGCCACTGCACAAATCACCGTTTTTGCCAACACTTGACATGATGTACACGACGTCGGTAGAGCAAAACTGAAGCAAGAGACCTGTGCTGGCTATTCGAAGCAACATTTAACTGTTTCATGGGCTATTTAAACAAGGATACATGGCGATGTTCGATGTCACTTCTCAATTACACAAACACATGGCTTGGATTCACTTCAGGAAATACGTTGTTAAGGTACCTTCCTCAACAATTTCATACTGTTCCGTTAATTTTTATTTCCGTACACAGACACATATACAGAATACGTTGCTGACACAAAGCCCGTGTTGCTCGCATGTTACCTAGAAACATCTTCATGTTGAAGAGCCGGTACTGACAGAACTAACCAGCATAGGAACCGCTATGGGGAATGGAGAGCTCCTTGAGGCGTGTTTCGACAGACAAACGAAGGAAACGATTAAAAAACGGACCGATTCCGTGCCACTAGCCTAATGGTCATCTGTGATAATCGTCTATATAGCAACTTCAGCCAGGCGGGCACGCTCTGCTGCACGCCCTCATGATCCGTACGATTTTGCATGTCATTGTTAATCCGCATGACACACACACACACAAAAGGATTGGGAAAAACGCACTTCTCCAGGAATTTTTCCGTCAGTTTGGTCGTGCCCAACTGGCAGGTTTCACATACATCGTGGACCAAAATATCGGTGCTCTCAGTATGGCGGAAAAAACCTGCAGCGACCTCAAGCGAGCATAAGGGCCCTCCAATGATTTTGATAAAAACCTTTAAAATACGGCAACAGAAGAATCACTCTTGGTTCAGAAAATGAATACAAATTGCCACTACACTGGCAAAAATAAGACTGTGTTACGTAACAGACTGTACAAAAGTAACAAAAAATGTTAGATTTACTATCTAAACACATTATGTACGTCGTCCTCCCTGCAAGAACTATCAGGGATTACGATTTTGGTGTCACGTGAACAATAGATCCCTTGCAGATGGTACTCGGTAAACGTTCCTTTAACATGGCAAGGAACCACTTAAAAAGTCAAGTGCAATCCCTCTTTTCTTTTCTGAATTAAAGGGTTCCATTTTGTTTTGGGAGTGTTGTGCGTGCGCATGTCATTTCAATGCCAATTTGCACGAAGAGTTAGAAAAAAATCTTGGTGGTCCGAGACCAAACAATTGACATTTCATGCTGCCTAGAGTTACGAGGTTGCGCTGAAAAAGACAACAGCCTGTACCAGTGCAAACAGTAACTAGTTTAACAATTCTATCCATCCTATTATAAACACACAGTGCCTCCGTTGTAACATGATGTAATTTGATCTTTCTTTCTTTCTTGACTCAATTCTGATAGGTCAATGATCCATAAATTTCATACTACGTATATACATTTTGTCCAGCACGACTGGGAATGCCCAAGGCTTTCAAAATGAATACGGGGGAAAGGGCTCAGCAGTTTTCCAGAATTAATCCGAGCGTCCGAAACTGCAACACTTCTTCGCGTCAAACAATTTTTACTCTTTTTACTTTTTTGTGTCGCCCTTCTCCGAAAATTCCTAAATTCACTCTTTGTATCAGTCAGAAAATCAACTGAAATAACAAATTAAGAAAAATATTACCAATATGGATGAAATTTAATCTCCAAAACTCTGATCACAGACGCAGTTCATAAAGCATATTCACCAGTTAGTACATCTGATGAAAAGATGCACCGATGCCATCTTTCTCAAATAAATAATTCTGCACAGAAGTTGGGATTGTAATCTGGAAACGCCTTGGTTTGATTACAACTGGGACTTGTTCAGATTTCACAGAACTATGATGCTGCCAAGTGAACAGATGACAAGACATTTTGGCGTGATCGCTGTGTCTATGGGCTTGTAAGCGCGCGACCGGTTAACGTAACGCCGAGCCTTGCCATTTCGGTAGGTATTTTTACTTTGTACTACTATTACTACTCAATTTTTAAGTAGGGAATGTGCTGGTAATGGTGGCCAGTCCCCTCTACTTACCAATTGTCGAGATAACGGTGCACACAAAATAAAAGGCACCGGAAAAATCCCATCGATCCCTCTTCGTGGCAAGAAACCCCTTCTTGTCGGCTTCGGAGTACACTTTCAATATTTTCGTCAATTCGGAATCATTGATCAGGTGGCCATATTTTGCTTTAAATTCTTCCATGGTGGCGTTGAAAGATTTTCGGTCCAGCAGCTCCTGGTCGTGCTCGATCAGTGAGAAAATCTCGGCCCCAAGGAGCATGTAGACAAGCAAGGACAAGATAAGGAGCACGAAGCGTGCATTGTCCTCTTTCAGATGGATGGCCGCGCAGCATTTTCCCCGCGCCATACCTGCTAGCGGACTGCTCAGTGCCGCTTTACGCCAGTCCTGGGTTCAGCAGTCAATGCATAGGGGCGTCTCTTCCTCCTTCTTGTACCGACAATAAAAATATCAACAAACATTATATCCGATGCAACTTGAAATGACGGGAGAGGCGTTGGCCATGCCTTCTGCTGGGCGAAGAAGAAAGTGCAATATGTATTCACATCAAGGGCGGTTGGCCGTGTAGCAGTCACACTGACAACGCATTCTAGCGGGTCTGAAATGACGTACGATTCAAACAAAAAGTGATCTAACTGCAGACTAGCGGCGATGCCAGAATCACAACCTCTCCCCTGTCGCCCTTCACCGTATCACGCAAACACTATAGACATGGGAATGAATGAAGACCATGCCTTGGAAGTTGAACAGAGGCTTTCGAATTCACTGAAGACATTCCGTGGCGTTTTTCTACAAAGATGGCGACGCAATAAAAAAAATAATACAGCATCGCAATCGTACTAATTGACCACCAAAGTGGATGGCAGTCGCAAAGCTCGGGGCTTATTTTAAACGCTTCCCGCAGAATCAATTTCGTCGATACTTGAGCTATTCTCCGAATCTCAGCCCATCTGTACGCGGAATTCCCACAGAAACATCTTCAAATACACATCCAACACGATCCCCGTTTGCGTACATTGTCACCATTACTACAACAGCAGTAAAGCGCCAGTAAAAACAACTCGCCAACTCCAATGACCGTTACGTGCCGAAGTGTTGTTAGGTTTGGGCTGTCTTGTGCGCGCTGCGGCCTAGCCCGCCTAGTCGAAAATGAAAATGACAATTATCCCTCCGTGGCAGAATGATCATCATATTATTGCCATGGTTTCCGAGCACAATCGCCACTCGCACCCTTGGGATTTGAACGCAGCTTTTACAATGACAATCTGCGGCAGCAACGATGGACGCGGTAAAAGCAGGCTCAGCCGAGGAGGGGGAAGGCAAGAGATGCTGGGGAGAGCCGAAGAGAGCCAGCTTGGGAGACGAGACACTCATGAATATGTAAGTGGTCGGTACGATATATCATTGCCGAGTTGTCCCTCTGTCATTATGCTGATCGCACAGGTGCGCGCACAGCATCATCATGTCTATCATGTAGGCGATTATAATTACACCCGTGTGCGGGCACGACGCTCTGTGTCAATTGCCGTGTACCACGGGCAGCCACTGCCTGATGCGCGGCACCAACGACCAACCGCGGCAAAGAGTGTGCGTGCCGAGTTTACGCTGAAACAAGTCGGGCCAGTCGCCCGTTCTCGATCTTCCGCAATCCCGCCCAAAAAGCTCAACAGGTCGTTGCCGTGTGTCGACACACGGACACCTCGCCGCAGCAGTTAAATCACGGGAAATAAACGATCTGTTCCCGACCAACCAACCCAGAGAGCACCGTGGAATTATCGGATCCGGTCGGTGAGAAAAAAAGCAGCTGTATTTGCCTCTCGCAGATTCATGCCGCAGGTGCACGGCTCCCATGGTCACGTGATCGCCCTGCGCGATCGATCAGTGCTGCACGCTGCTTTATGTACATACCTGCTCATATTTTCATCTATGGCGGCTGCAATGAAACATTAATTAGCTCTATTATGGATGGGAAACTGACGGGTGCTTGTCGTCAGAAGACGGACAGTTTGCACATGAAAGAATATGCTTTTCAAGAGAACCAATCAATAACGTTAGCAATGAGGCAATTTTGTGTTGGTTACAGTTATCACGTTCAAGTGCATCTTAATATTTGGATTATTTTCCATAATTATGTCAACGGCACCCGATGTGCGTCTGCTCTTTTCACTGTAATTTTTGTAATATTGAGAACCCCCTGATCATTGAAACCCATCAAAATTCCAAACATGCTGCAACAAAAGCGACTTTCAGAAACATCGTTACCTTTTGGCAACGTTCTCGGGGTGGGGGGCGGGGTGGATGTGGGTGAAGCGGTGGCAGGTGGCCCACGGAAGATGAATCAAAGACAATCAATGACAATTACATTGTCACAATGACTTGTTCAATTTATGAACTATGGTTGGCCACCTCAAAGAATACTCTGGCGGGATAAAAGTGAGATGGTATAACAGAGCAATAGGCCTACTGACGGTTTACTAAAAGTCACCTCTGTCGAAGTGTGACTTCTGAAGCAAACCCAGGATTTTCGGTATACTCTGCTAATCTGGCAAGGGCAATTTGCCGTACTGCGGTCAATAGAATAAGAAAAATAGAACAGACGAGCTGTTGCCCTCACAGTTCCATTGCAATACAGTATCTTCAAACAGATTAATGCCTTCAATTAGGTTAATACGGTTCCTGTGAGCCTATACGTCCGATGTGAACATTGGCAGCTTTCGGACAAGCACTGATTCTTGATATATTCTTTGTTTTGCGTCTATAACCTCGTTCCAGAACTTTGATTAAAATCTTACGTGGTAACAGCTCTATCGCCCGGAATTACTGGTAACAAGCTTGTGAATGTGACAACTAACGGCTATAAGTCAGCCTTCCAGCACCAAAGACACAATACAATAACACAACATAAATCGTATCACTCACATCAAAATTTGTACACTAGGCCTATTCGTAACTGTACAGAAGTTAAAAAGCAATATGAATTTAACAGACTATAACATTAAAGGAATACAAGATGAAAGAGTCCCGTTTTAAGATATCACCACAAATTTGTAACTGGACAGACATACGTTGAATGCGTTTCAAGGGGTGTTCAAATTGAAGAAATGAATGCAAGAGACAAGATCCTGCCCCTTTTAAATCTTAATTAAAAGGCATTTCACAACACACAGCAATTAAACCACACATGAATCGGCTCTCTTCCACACACGCTGCGTTAGTTGCAATACCTTTACTCTTGGACAAACTTCTTTTTTTCGGGGGAAAACGTCCTTAAAACGGAATTCGCATCTGTGCTTTCTTTTTGTTCGAGTCACCTTCCTTGACCACAAGTTGCCCTGGCAACAGTCGCTTGGCGTTGCCCAGGCGACGATGTATCCGAATGCACGTCATAATGGCCACGGTATTTCAAGGTGCAACCCGACAACGCGCGGATCCCACAAGTACAACGGGGAGAATGCATGAGTCAGCTCTCCAGAAGTTCTTTCTTCGTAAAAAAAAAAATTAAATGTTGTGGTTGCTGGACCGAAACTTCTTTCTGTTTGAGGATAACTATTTGTGTTTAATTGCACGAACTGCTAAAATATCACCACCCTGGGCAGGAGTGCGAACATCATTTCCAAATAGCAAAAATGTATGAAACATTCCACTATGAAAAATGGAAGGAAGACAAGTTATTGAGTACTACAGGCCCCTGGGCTCGTTGTTGACTTTCGCCACAAAGCTACTATCTCAGTTTCTTAGGTGTTCAGCTACTTTGAGTAACAAGCAAAGGTACAACTACCCAACCCACCTCGAAAAACGCTTACTGTCCTCAAAAACGGAATTAACGTGGAATAGGTATACAACCATATTAAAGCATGAAAGACTTACAGAACTTTCATGGTTTTAGACCTTAGCCTTGAATTTTCGCTTTCAAAATCAAATGTTTGTCATTGAACAACAGAGAAAAACAAAAAACGTTATTTGAAATTTCAAACAGCCTTACTATATGCAAAATCACTAAAAATATCTTTTGATCACGGATATATTCTTAACCCCCCCCCCCCAAAAAAAGGAAAAGAAAACAAAACTAAACAAAAAATACAACCCCTAAAACAAAACAAACAAAAAGAAAAAAGAATGAAAAAAAAAACATGTGGGGAGAAAACAACCCCTAAACGCAGAAGTAGAACTGTATGAATCCCAGTGTATATTTTTTTAGAACTGGTTGAGCCACTAGCGAGTGGTAAACCAGGTTAAGCCGGTAGGACTGTGGGATCATTCCCCGACAGCGCACTCGACTGGGAAAATGGCTTGGCCGACAACGTGTTCAATTGTCGCAATATGGTCAATGACAAGTCTCGTCGTGAAATGATATAGCCTGGACGTGTATAGTTTGACCACCTGCCCAAAGTCAGAAAAGGGAAACGCATGGCAGGCCCTATCCAAGCCGAATGTCAAGATTTAACATCTTTCATCAAGGGAAATTTGCAATTCTAGCATTGCACATTTACCCATAAAGGGTTTGACATACTTCAGCTTCTCCATAAATACATGGATTTAAATCCAATCTAGTGATTGTATCTGTTGAACTGAACCTTTCATATACCTAAAAAAATATATATGTTACGGCAAAGATTAAAATCTGAGCTGTTCTTTTTGCTGATTGATTGGTGATGTTAGGAGTAACTGTAATTCATTTTAGAAGAATCACGCACGAGTAGGCCTACCAAAACTATGTACTAGTATACGTGTTTCATTGAAAACACTAATTATTCAACACTGCCATTTAAACACTATCGCTCAGGATGTACCCGTACATTTTTTAGTTAACGAGTTTCATTGAAATACCGTCATTTGTTGAATCCTGTATACTATAGGCCTATCTACTGGTTGGGAAAACACGTTGACCGTTGTTGCTCAGTAAGACCGATCTACTCTACACATTCAAAGCCCGTATAAAACAACCTCGAAATGCACAGTCTGCTTGCTACTTGTCTGCGCAATGAAGTCACAGTAGTAAGCTCATTTGACAGCAGCACAGCAAGGTTCATCTTAATTTTCACATCTTCGTCCATGCTTTGCGCAGGGGCATCTTACTCATCAACCAGCGGTACATGTACGTTCATAATAGAAAAACAAATAGGAAAATTAGCGAGCAAATTCATGTATGCATTTCAAGCGCTCCATCAACATCATGAAATGTTGTGCATACGGGGCTTCCACGGTAAACTGCATGAAGCCACACACACATACCGTGGCAACTTTGGACACGGAAAGGATTGCAAGTGTAAACATGAACCTCCTACTCAACAACGTGCTCATCATTTCACATGGGTAGCTCGTACACCACAATTCTTTAAAGCACGGGATGAGGTTAACACAGACCTTCGCTTACTGGCAATCACTTCCAGTTGGCAGCCGCCCAAAGCCGTGTCTATCACACCCTGTCAACACCTGATCGAGCCGGTTGGCGTGTCCCCAGTCATTCCTGGTGACAATGTTCGCGCCTGTAATCGAATCAGAAGACGGCGTCGATGGACACTCGTCCTGAGCTAATCTCAGCTTCGATACGATGCGGCATTACCTTCTTCAAAATTCGCCCCCCCCCCATTCGGGAGCTTGTAGCGCTTCTGACAGTGGGCCCGCCGACTAAACCATAATTTACGGCTCAAACTCTACACAGAAGTAAATAAGACAATGTTGAAATATTAGTTTCATTTATAAAAATCCCGTCACACGACTTCACAAAAAAACAGGTTTAACTGCATTTAAACTTACCTTGTTAACACGTATAGTAGCCGTTGTTTCGTTCAGAACATTATCATTTGATATTTGACGTCTTGAACTTTCAAAAAATTGAATCACTAACTGTCACTTTCATTGCATGACATTGTAGACAAAACAGCAGTCTGCAGAGTTGGTGGTCGATCCTCCCTTGGTCATACATGGGCGTTTCCCCCTTCATTTTGATTATTTTTAAATTGTCGTGATAATGGCCTGTCAATGGAAACCAGGTCATCTTACCTACCAGGCCCCACGGACGAACTACGTGCATTCAATAGTTAAAGCAGTACTTGGATTACGCCTGTAGACAAAGGGAGACAAAACCGTTCCGTTCAAAGCGTCAGTGTTTTAGTTGCTCAAGCAGATTGAAAAGAAAATTCCCGCCAAACAAACAAAGACTTGGCGTGCTTGGGGGTAAATTTCTAAACTTGAAATTGTCACCCCCCTTACTCTTCTTGCTTTAGAGTCGTACCTATAATAGAGTACTGAAGTTTGACGTCATCTTGAACCGAAATGTGTAGAGCAAACGAATGGAGTGCGCGCGCGTGTTGGTTCATGTACAGGTTCTCGCGCTAATTGCCTTTTACGTGTACCCTGTGCGCGTGACGTATTCACTTCGGTACTCCATAGCCTTGGTTCTGTCCAGCATGTTTCTCCAGAGCTTCTTCAAATATTAACTCACGATATGGTGTCATATGGTGCAAATATCTTTCGCACAACACCCCAGCACTTTACAAAGTCTTCCCCAGTCACCTGGCGTTTGAACGACAGCCTCCAGGATAACAGACGCTTTCTGTTGCTGTCTCCTTGTCATATCATGAGCACTGATCACTGTAGCAATACGTGTGTAGAAACTGTTCAGTCTTGAAGATCGCATACGTGTATCAAGATCCCCGCATCTTCAGGACATGGAATTTCCTGACTTTCCCACTACCTGCATGTAGGCCCCTAGTGCTCAAAATTCCGTGAACCAGTTCGTCAAAATGTAGATCAGAAGTATAAAACGTCTTTGGCACCTTATCACATTCATGATAAGGCCGTCACGGGACGATATTCAATGATATCCAAAATGCTAAAATGATGATATAGAATTTGAAAAAAAATTAAAATGATTGGATCCTTGCACGTGAATTCTACATTATCTTGACGTTTGCCAATTTAAATTTAAAAAATCAGACCCTTCTAAGGTCGGAAATGATTTCTGTCCATTTCCATGACTTTCCAGGGTTTGGGGAATACCATGATGTACAGCGACAATCAGCATGCACAGGAAGCGAGTTCCGGCCTGTAATCCCATTGGTTGCCCCAGAGGCCTGTGCACAGGTAGCCCCCTGGTCCCTTTCCTCCAAACAACGGCCCGGTCACGACGAAGTCTGGTACCAGGTTCGAGAACTGTGAAACCAAAAAGGTCAAGTACTTGAAGTGTAACCTGAATTTGGAACCTTCATCTTGAATTAAGTAGAGGCGGGGTAAGCAAGCTGTAAATGTAAGGGAGGGGTGTATGTGACTTGCCGTGTTCAGTTCTTGGTAGCCAAAACATTTGGCACCAAATGCAAAACTTGCCTTTTTACGAGTGATCCGATTATGAACTACCCCCCCTTGAACTTTATAAACGCTCAAGGCATGTTCACCTAATTAGAACTAAAAACTCACCAAAGTTACCAAAAGGGAAGGTCTGTAAAGCCCCCTAAGAATATGTATGTATCATCAATTTGGCTTGCTTCATGACTGTCATTTCCATGTACTGTACTTACAGGAGACCGAGTCATGGGAGGGATGGTCGGACTAGCAAGACGCACAACATCTTCGATTCCTTCAGGACTATTTCCAAGCAAGACCAGGGCAAGTCTCCCCGCGTGATGAGGAGCCAGAAACAAGGCCCCAGTTCTTTTCTCTTTGAATTCACAATCGCCAAGCTCCAGACCTACAAATTAAACATCGAAATGTATGAGTCGGGATTATGGCTGATAATTTCCTAATTCTAGTTAACGCAAATCAAAGCAGTAATGTGTTCGTTTGTTTGTTCTGTTCACGAATAATAAGCAGAGTGGCATCTGCCCTGTTCAACGATTGTAAACCGCACCAAGGTTATTTCCCCGTCAGGTGTCAGTAAATGTTAGCGCAATCAGTCAATTTGTGCAATCGCTCCATCTTTGCACAAGCCGTCGGACCTCTTGCGTGATTTGCCGATAATTCCGCTATCTGCCAACAGCGTTTTGATTGTCTTTCCATTTCGCGGTTGTGGAAGGGTGTTTGGAGAAAATAAGGAGGTACATTTTGAGATTTTACATCTATATATATATAGGATCGATTGACAGCGCCACGCAATCGCGCTCAACATAATAATCACAAACATGATATACTTGGCCAGAAATCTCGGGGTATAGATTCCCCTGACACTTTTTGACCGGGGGAAAGGGCCATTTTATCTCCCCGCACATATACGTGGTCGGAAACTTAATTGAAAGGAATTAAGGCAAATTATGAGAAACTTTGGACTTCCTAACCAAAGTGCACCCATTAGCACTGAAAAGGGGGGAAAAGTGAAAAAGAAAGCAACTATATAAAATAATGTATGCGCAAGTTCAATGCTCAGGCCAGAGGTGTGAGTATGAAAGGTATACAGTTGGGTGAAAAAGTTTACATACACCTGCTAGAACAAAAACAGTTTTCCTCGAATTTCGCAGCTTCACTCGTTCCTACTAAGTTTTCTTTTCATGAGGACAGAAAAGATGGGTCTCTACCTAATGTACATGGTGTATGCGTCAAATAAAAACACCCAGAGACATATGTATATTTACATAAAATTCCCCATATTCCAAACCTAATACTTAGTGTCACTTTCTGCAATGTTTTTTTGAACGACAATAAGGGGGGGTTAGATGTAACTTTTCACAAAATGATTTTTCAGAAATTATATCTGAAACCATGATAAATATCTGGGTATTTTCAATTGGAGTACACACTATGCAGATGAAGTCAAGATACAATTTGTCGGACTTCATAGAGAAAAAGTTAGCAAAACTATTCCAAGCAGCAAAATATTGAGGAAAACTGTTTTCTACCAAGTGTGTGCAAACTTTCTGCCCCAACTGTACATCTGTATTATGAAAAAGCCCTACACGTGCCATCAGCTTCCCCCAGGCCCGATTCTCAAATTTCCATGGCCGAGCATACTTTTTTATTTATGTCATCCCCTATCTTCCCAGTTACATTTACTCAACTTGTAGACTTTTCTCCCATTACCTTTATTGTCCATCGATTTACTTCCGTGCACGGATAAGTGCAATGATTCATCATGACGAATCACCAACCAACAGTGTTAAATAATTACACATGGCAACAGTCGCGCAAGCATGGCGGCTCTTTTATGTCAAATTTACATTTTGTGGAAACTACAAAAGTAACAACGCTACTAGTACACGGCCATGTGAACATGAGTGACATGACCACCACTTGAAGTGGATGGGATATAGATCGTTCCCACAAAACGAAAAGACATCCCTATCAGAGCTCAACTTTCAACTTTTCATTTTATGCACTGTTATAAACTACTGTAATCCCACATGACTTTATGATTCGAATTAGTGGCGGACGATATTATGATTTTTATCTTCACAATACCTTGTTTGTAAAATTGGAAGTGCCTTCTTTCGGGGAAAAATCAAACTGCAGGATATTAGCGATATCTTTTCACATCGTTTTTATATTTTTGGAAAAAAATCAACGATACTTTCATTTCTTTTCACCTATACCTATCTTTTTTTCTCAAAACAGAGCAAAATTAAGCTCACTTTGCTGCAATATGTACGTAAAGCGTCTAAACTTATAGGGCTGAATTCTATTTATGGTCTGCGACGATCCAAAACCATTAACATGCCTAACAGTTAAACAAGCCTGACATGATCGGACAGTGCTTGCGACGAAATACATTGTCACTGGTGCCATCATCTGTCCATAGGTTAGCTTTTAAAATCCGCGTGCAACCGGCGATTTTCTATAGCTCAGTACACACGGGCGCAGTCTTCACGGCAGCCGCGCATAACCTTCAGATGTGTGTGTTAAGATAACGCACGCACGATCTTTTATTTACCGCTGTGTGGTCTCAGATAAAAACCGATAAACAATGGATATTTATTCTGCAGTCTCACGACGAAATCACCAATTACAAATTCAAGGTTTGCTTACGAGATTCGTGTGTGCCTTATGGTTACATTCAGAATTGAGAAAGCCATTTACAGGATGATCACACTTTTTTCCAACAGCTCCCAATTTGAAGTCCATCGTAAAAAAAATCAAACCACATTTCCGCGAGGTATTATCATAGGGCACTTTTCCCAAGCCGTTTTGCGGTTAGCGGTGCCCATACCGCAGGTGCCAAGACAGATTTTCGCGGAAATTTGAATTTGCAGACATTTCCATCAGGTTAGCAAAGCAACGAAACGAATGATTATTTTAGGTCGAAATCCAGTTTTCTAAACCATCTTGTTTAACATGTAGTTATAAAACTTATTTCCAGCATAAAGGGTGTTTGCATGCCAATTATGGACGGCTTTACAGTCGTATCAGTCATTGCAAAAAATTGACTGTGCTACCAAAAACAAAACCAAACCAGCACCTGTTCCAATTTCCCAGAACAGTAGTGTGTAAGTTAGATCTTTCTCATTCACCCCATACTAGCCCTAATCCTTTTCATATCTAAGGTTATAGTTTCACTCGTCTGGGACTACAGTTCAATCTTATAAACTAATACTTTCAGTCCATGTCAGTGTTCTCTCGAACATGCATGCCTGCATGCTCTAAAAGGCAATACAGTAAAAGGCCATGCTTCCACCTTGACTGAATATGAAGAATGCAACAATGCGGAAATGAGAAGCCCCGTAAGACTACGGTATTAAACCTTTATTTTGTGCAACATTCAACCATTCTTGCGCGCCGCATGGTGACAGGGTACATTAACTTTCGGTTTGACGGCGCCAGCATTTTGAACCACCCCCCGCATCTCAGAGGCATCAAATGCCACATGTGATAGTTTTCATAAAGTAGAGAGTATACAGTACATGTAGCTGTTATTTCACTTGTAGATATCACACCTGTGTAAAGTTATTACCATTTACATTTTACCATCTGTTGTAATTCCAGTAACTCCAGAAGCAAAGGTTAAATGAATATGCAAATATGTTTTTGAGGTCGCAATACAATTCTTTGTGTCACAAAAGTAGGATTGAATTCCGACAGTGACAACAGACTCTAAGCTTGAAGAGCAATCTTTTTGTAAAGCAATTGTTCAAACCTCCCTTTTACGGTTACAAGTAGATACATGTTGGGTCTATGGAATTTCTGGATATTTCTGAATATTTTATTTCGGGGTTGTGTCAGACACATTTGTGTTCGATGCTTACTACTGACAGAGGTCTGGTAAACGAAGAACCCCGGAAAGCATGACATGAGCTAATGGCAAATTCAAATTGCAATGCGTTTACTCGCCAGATGGTGTTATCTTGCTTTTTTCCGGAATGCTATAATGCCAGAAGACAGAATGGGACAGGCTTGGGAGATTGTTGTATTATGAGCAGAATCCCCTCGTGACTTTCCAAGCAAATGTCAGCGGCCAGTTTGTGAGACCTCCTCGCGGCAGCAAAGGCAGGAGATGGGTCAACAAAACAAAGCATACATTCCCATTACCAAAATGAGGATTTTTTAGATATGCTTTCTATGCATCACAAAAGCAAGCATGCATCGATAAGAAGCTGCACACGCAGGTTCCAATGAGGCTTTGCCATTTATCATTTTATTATTATTTTTTTTGCCGTTGGGCAGAAAGTGAGTTTCGGCGAAGCAAAAGGTGAAGGGGCTAACCATTTCCACTTGCTCCCAGTGGCACCTGATCCAGGAAAGGCTGTGCCCAAGAATTTTCCGACGACCCGCCCACAACGATCAGATTGCGAGAGGTGGCAATCTCCTGGCGCAGCGTGCTGTCCTCTATTACCATGGCAACGGCATCAGAGGCTAGGTAGAAGAGATTTGCGATATAAACGGACAGCTGCAGGAGCCTGGCACTCAGAGTCTTGTCCTTGGTGCCTGCATGCGCAAGAAAGAAGAAACGTTTCTTGAGTGAAAAAACTCACGGCTTCACCCATTGTTCGGAAGACTTTCATTCCAAACGTGCAGAGTAAAAAGTGAATGTTGCTAAATGAATCTATTTTTTTAACTCAGCCTATGGCTCAGTAAGTCACGGAACTCAAACGCATGGCCCCAACTATGAAGACAAAAAGAGTCCAGAACTTGATACACAAACAAACAACCATTTTCAGTGGCAATGTTACTTTTTAAAATGTACTGACATCTTAAAAATGAAACTGATTATAGTGTACATTACAATATCTGAAATTAAACAGATTAACAGAAACTGTAGTTTCCTCTACCTTACGTGAAAGGACGGCGAATATAAAAATTGGTTTACAGTTGACTGGGACTGCACCGTGAATCAATTTTATGCTTGAAGTGTGTCGGTTATGACTGTTTCAGCTCACAATCATTGCCTATACATGTACATGTACACTGCCGCACCACACTGGCTGCAAGATTCAGTGCCTTTTTTGTGGCAGAAATTCCACCTCGACGGAAGATCTTATCTGGCATAATATATTCACGCTTAGGGGAAAGCGTGTAGCCTTGCAGCCTTCCAACAGCGGTGATTCTCATGCTCCCCGATGTGTCCCTCAGAGAAGAAAATTACCACACAGATGACTGCCCCCTCTCAGTCGAAGGCCTCCCCGGACAAATTCAATCCCTGGCCTTTGACAAGTCTAATGGATGCACCGGTTGTGATAGCAGTTTAGCCACATTTGGTGAACAGAGAAGACAACCTGCTTTAGATAGCTTGCTTCTCTTTGAGGCAAGCCCTTCGAAAATGCTTGGGATAATGGGTATTGTACACTGTGCATATTGTTACTAATTATGTAATGCAGAAGTTTGTAAGTATGAAGGCCACTTTGGGTATAAATTATAAATAGTTAAATATATTATGAAATCTGAGCAATGCTTTAATTATGATACGAATGGTTCTCGGATGCATTTATGAGAGTCAAACAGATTTTTTGCTGAATGTTTGCAGTGAAGCAACCTTGGAAACTACAGCTTGAACGAGGGCGGATCCTAAACCAATTTTTTAGTTGTCAGGGAGTTGGAGCAGACCAAAACGTGGGATTTCCTTTACATACCTCTTTGTGGCCTTTCTAAGGGGTCTGGTGAGGTTAAATGTCCAGGCATTTTACACATTTTAGGAAGACAGGGGAATTAAATAGTCCCCAGAGATCTCTCTTTTTTTTAACTTGTTTGTATACACATTTCCAAACACGAAAATGCTCTTCTTGAGGAGCCACGACCCCACTAAGGTCCCTACCCGAACACACGCATGAAATGCACCCTGCACTGATGTCTGAGTACAAAGCATAATAAATCAGTTACGGCTATCACGTTCTTTTACGCCTTGTTTTAAAAAAAAAGCTGACTATGGACACAGCATCTTCCGTCTTATGGGTCACAAGTTTCAAATTACCTCCGGTGAGCATAAAATAATGCACGCCTTGCAAGAGAGACAAAACGACATGACAGTAAGATGATCATGGGTATACCAAGCCGGCAAAATGTCAGGCAGGAATAATAGACCGTCTAAGGTACGTATGATGGGCAAAGTCCACACTTTTGTGACTTTACAGGAGTCATATCGGCCATGTTACAATATGCTGTCCAAGATATAATGAGTCCAAGATGCTACCGTATAAAGGCTTAGACGCTCATTTTTCTTTCATCTGGAAATGAAGAAGGTGTGTTGACCTGTACTTCACTGTGGCATTTGCCTCTAGAGAACAAATTGGACAACTCGAAACTGGTAAACACCCACAATAACTGTGGTCCTTAATCATTTCTTTATTGGCAGCGAAGAAATTGTTAGCGAATTAAAAAAAAAGCTCACTTTCTGAGCTATATTTGCAGATACATGATAAATACATCTACAAATTAACGCTCACTTCGGGGAAAACAAAGAACTGGACGTTGGAAGGAGAAATCACGACTGGAGAAAGAAAACCTTACCTGTTACAATGAGGAAAGGATGTTCGACGACCCTTCTGGCTGGTCCCAGGTTGGTAGGGCCTCGGGGTACAGAAGACACATCAAGGTGATTCCCACACGCCTCCCACAAACCTGGCAAAGAACAAGATAGATCAATAATTCAGCAATCGCTGGTTGTTTGCACTGGTGACCTATTACAATCCTAATTTCCATTTGTGTAATACGGGCGATTCACAATAGTGCGCCTCCAAGAGGTTGCGAAATTTGTCGACCCTTTCCAAACACGCATTGGGTCGACAAATTTCGCGCATTGTCATTGGCCATCGCGTTGCAAACTCTTGGAGGCGCACTATTGTGAAACGCCCGTATTAAATGGGTTTGATTAAGTGGTTTAATTAAAAAGTTAAAGCTAACTGAGCACGAGTGAGAAAGAGAGGAAATGCACCAATAGCCCTGTGTCTAAACCCATAATTGGCACGACATTTTGAAAAAGCTAGATCATTAATTCAAAGTCTGAAACTTTTTATGCCAATCAAAAACAAAATTACTTGTAAAGAGAGCATTGCAAATCTATTCGGTTTTTCAAATGAAGCCTCACGGACCGCTAGGGCAAGACTTTGGTTAGGCCTATACAAAAGCTCCGATGTACCCTGGTTATCTCGGCAGATTCTAATTTCTTGGTTTGGTTTCACGGTACCATGTTGGCAGTGCAGCTGATGACCATCAATCTACATGTAAAAGCAAACAGGGAAAAAACCGTAAGTGGAAAGTGTGCGCTGCTAAGCATTCTGCCATTCTTAAATTTATTTAATTTTAATAACTGTGTCCTTTATGAAGTGGGAGCAACATGACAAGGCTCAGCCGCTCAGTAACACTCACAATGACAGAAAAATTGTAAAACAAAAATATAAATTTAAACAATAAATGCAAAAATGACAAATAAAACTTCTACATGTATATTGCCTACAAAAAAGCTGCACTGTGGCTTAAATTTTGCCTTCTCCAACTGTGTGTATGTTTGCAGCATTACAGTACAGAAGGTCCAATGTACAGATTAATGAAGTAAACACCGGCAGCAAACCAAGAACCTGCAGAAAATCTATGAAGCTATGTCCAAGTTCACAAAGGCTATAACAGAAATGAATCTGGAACAACTAAGTGAAAAGAACGTGCCAGGCCCTACACGAGAGGTCACAATAGAGGTTTAGGCACAGCAGCCATCTTCCCAGCCAGTACTAGTGTTTTTGTCCCACACGAGTAAACCTTTGGAGCATTATCCCTGTAACAAAACCACTAGCTGTCGTGCACAACCTCCACAGCTAGTGTTGTTGTCGAGACCATCACGAAACACAAGACCAAATTCTTCATTTTGCTTTAAACAAATTAAACTCCATCCGGTTCCTTACAAGCACACTTCTCTTCCTGGTTCTTGCTTAGATCATGCTCCCCAAAAAAGACCCAACATACAAAGACTTGTCATCTATTCAGTATTCCAGCGGCATCATTTAATAATTACTGCGCAGAGAAATCAATTTGAATTTGATAACCCCTGCTGCTTCAGATATCTTGACACCTTTAACAGCACCTAATGGCGACTGGGGCTGTCAGAGCCCAACGATGTGATGGGAGAATTAATTTTGAGTAGCATGCCCCCGGGAGCATTTTTCGAGGTATATTTGTAATGCTTCATACTTTTCACATTGAGAGCCAAGGATACAAACAAGTGGGGGGGGGATAAATTGCCTAACACCTCAACAAGGCCCAGCGAAGCATGCACGAAGTTAGACCGGCACAAATTGCCTGTCCTTTTTCCCATTTAGCACCACATGCCTTGCATTAGAAAATCCAAATTCATCAAGCCTGTGCGTTTCAATTTCATGCCTTATCCCCAACTGCACTGCAGAGGGCGTGTGGAAAAAAATGACATAAAAATGGGAGAATTGAGACACTGATGGAAAATATAAAAAATGAACCCAATACAGTATTTAAGACAATCTTTGATCAAGGCTGCCAGGAACAGGTTTCACTTCAGACATTACCAACCCCCTTTTCGTGGCCAAAAAAGCTGACAGTACACGAAATATTTACATGTACTACGAAACACAAACAATGCAGACCTTTCAAACTTTCAAAACATTTGATTACAGTGCATGATGTGAATCCAGAAAGCCCCTCACAATGGCAGGCACATTATGCTAGATATTCTTCAGCAAAACTGGCTCTTTTTAGAGTTATTTGGAGCACCCAGCACATGATTCTGGCATTTTGTATGGACAAAAGCTCTCCGCGGGCATTCTTGAATATAGTGTATTTGGCCTATAGTGTATATGGTGTAACACTCGGCCAAATCTTGATACCAGTAGGTGAAAGTGTGATTGGTCATTTTGACTTATACCATCACCTCAAAAACATCCTTTACCCACGCAAAGTAGCAGATACAACCATGTTTTCTTGATATCCACGATAAAACAAAATAGCAGTTGCTGGAAGTGGTACGTATAAGGGGGGGGGGTTAATCTGCTTCACGTTTTCCCCATTAGTCAATATGCTTAAACTTCCATTGCCTGATAAAAAAGTGTCTCTGTTCTCTCTGGTGTTATTTAGTATTAATTGGCTAGACACGTTGAACCTCCCCATGCATCCTCTTGTGAATGTAACCTGCGCCCTTCATTGGTTGTGCAGAGACGTGTATACAAGTTAAATTACGTACATGTACCGGTATGTAGAGTACACAATAACTTGTTGCTGAATACCAAGTAAAGAAAAGGAAAGTAAAAACGAAGAACGGCTTCATCAAAGAAAGTCAATATTTACACCTGTAGGAAAGTACTTCACTTCAAGGCAATAAAAATGAATGTATGTCTTTAGGCTTGTGGTTCTCATCTCGGTAAGCAATCAAAATTCATGGCCAATTGGTGAACCTACTGGCAGCTTGCCAATCATGCAATCACTCTATCTTCCCTCTGCATCTTGCTCGTTTTTTGCCCAATGGAACCTGATGGAAACAGTATTTCAACTAGGGCCTCTCAACTGGTTCCAAAACCCTTTTATGAGTTTCCTCTATGTGCCGATGTATTTGCACACTGGATGCTACTTCATTGTCACATGTCAAGTGGTGCGAACAATGATCACAATGCTAGCAACATTAGATATTTTAGCAAGTCTAGAATCTGTAAGCTCAAGGGGGCGGATACTGCCGTCCCAATGTATTCAACATAGTGTACATGCATATCCAGTCAGTTAGAATATTCATCATGATCAGCTCCAATGATGGACTGAAATGATGCAGGAAACCATTTCATGAGGAGCTAAAGAACACTATAAAGAACACAAACAGCACCCCCCCAAAGAAATGAAAACCAGAAAAATAAAATAAATAATAAAACAAAAACAATAAGAAACATCTTCAAAAACAATACTAGAGAGCCAGGGCTGAGACTCGTGCATGTGACAGGGCATACCGCTCATCTGCAGTAAATCGTTAAATTGCACAGTACATGCACATGATAAGGGTATAAAAAGAATCCCCCTTAGTGTAAGCTGTCTGATTTGATCAAAAGCCAGAAGACCTGACCTGTGCATAGAGCACTAATTTCCCGCTGCCTGCTCACAGGTGGGGCGGCCCGTGTCTAATATTGTCCCCTCACTTCTTCTGACGTTCTAGTTTTGGAGTTTTCTAACTGGAAAAGAATTCCACGGAATACAAGGCTGATAATTTAAGCGAAACAGGTTGAAAGTAAGTGCGCAATTAGATTGTACAGACCTATTTGGGGTCATAATGGAAGAATGGCAATCAGCAACATGCTTATTTGCTGCTACAGCTTGATCGGGTCAAACTATTTGCGACCCCATCAAGCTTGTCAGCTTACCCCCCCCTCGAAAACCTGGCATGGCGGACAGCCAACATAATATTTGCAAAAACCAAACCTTCTGTATCATGTGCTGTTTTCACATTTGTTCTCTAATCTCATTGGCCAATAGTTTTCATACTTGCAGTGCATGTGCAAATATTTCATAATACTAGGGAATCCATTTAAATGTAAATGAGTGTATATGAGAGAAAAAAACATGAGGGCTGTATTCCTATGTGCACGGATTTCACTTTTTAAGCACATGGCCAAAGCTGGACTTCTGGATAATGCTCCTGTATGTGAGAGCAAGCCCTTTTCATTATAACCTATGGGTTACTTGCAGTTTGACAGCATCGAGTGAGACCCCCCTAAAAAGGGGAGGGGGGCTAACAAAGTAAGCAGAATCTTATTTTTTTTTCTCCATGCATATACAGAAGAAACATCTTATTACACTGCAGAAGCTGCTTGTCCAGCAGCAGATAGAAGCTAATGCAATTTGCAAAACAGCTGCTTGATGGCATTTCCAATCTTCATTCGGATCACTTACTGTGCTTTCAACTAGCAAGAAATCCAGAGCTGCAACTGGTATGCATATATGTTTGGCTATCATTTGCACATTTAATGTCACACTCGCTGACATGATGAGAAATGCACATAAACCGATTAAATCTTGATTTCAACAGGAAGTTCTTTTAATAAAGGCTTAATTTTGGAATTTGACAAAATGCTGTTTGCATGTCTCTAAAATGTCCCTTTTTCCAGGGTGCCATTGGAGGAAAATAAAATATCCATGGAATGATCACCAGAGGTTTTTGAGGGCCCCAAAGCAGTGTAGGATCTACAGTATACATTTGCATTTGCCTCAAGACACCTCCATTAAAATACCAATTTCCTGTGTAGTACTTCACTTTCTATATGTAACAAAACATCTTAATGGATAAACTCAGGACTTTCAATGTTAAAAGAGATTGGTTTTAAAAACCTTGAAATCCGGAAAATCCTGATGAAAAATGGAATATCCTGACAAATCTCCCCCCTTGCCTTATATAGCACAAAGTTTCCCTTGGGTTTGCAGTGCATCTCCCATTATAATACCAATAAATGTAAATTCTGCCAGGTATGTTTCATGTCTATCTTGCATGATACTATGATTTTTCCCCAGCAGAGACACATGAACATGTAATGAACATGAAAATATACGATTCCACACTCAAAAGTTCTGCTTGTCCTATTGTATGAACTTAATAAACTGTTCACTAACCAATCCTGGTCAGAATTGTCAACTGTCATCATAGACACTTTTACAGTGGTCTGATGCACTTGCCTTGCATACTATTGGCACCAAAGAAAAGCAAGGACCATCTCGTATGATTGAGACTCTGTAGTCCCTGTACGAGCTGCCTATAAAATGGTGCCCCTACTAAAATTACTGAGTTTACTTGACAAGACCCTCAATTGCGAGCTTATAAGATGTCTGCAGAATCCAAGAGAAAAGCACTCAACATCTACAGACACATCTGTATTAGTGTAAAGACATGCGCTCATATCTCAACTATGGCAAGCCAATTCCTTTATACACTGGAACAGTGAGTGACTGGGACAAGTTAATGCCCACGTCCAGAAGGGACCTGAATCCAAGTCTATTTTTTTTTTAAGTAATTGATGATGAGAAAAAGTGGAAAGGCAGCTTAATAAGATTGGCAAATTTACTGAGCAAAGTGCAAGTGGCAATGTACACAGTGTGCTGTGCCAATTTTTAATATATCCTGGAACTATGGAACTCTTCATTTTCATTAATTTTTTTTTTCATTAGCATTATCTATTTTCTGTGAGCACTACTGGTACGGAGACGAATAATATATATTTGAACAAATCAAATGAAGACAGGTTCATGCACATAAGGGGATAATATACATTTACACAATGTGCTGTCCACCATCCACCTAGTCTGAGGGCAAGTAAATTTATTCAGAACCAGCAGTTTTTGCTGGTACCACATTTCCAAACCCCCAGTTAGGGATCTTTATATTCTCATCATAAGTATTGAGAACAATGGAAAACAAGGACTATCAGATAGCACAATGGATTATCAGATAGCACCATTGATTATCAGATAGCACCATGGGGTATCAGATAGCACCATGGGGTATCAGATAGCACCATGGGGTATCAGATAGCACCATGGGATATCAGATAGCACCATGGACTATAAGGTACTATCAGTTTGAAACATGATGTTGCTGGGAGTGAACAGGCAGTTTTTAACAGTGCGTTGTTGTGAAGGACAGGCATTTCTCTTGAAACCTACATGAGACCCTACACCTTGTTTGAAATAAGCAGTATTACCCTATTCAGTCATCTTCCTTCATTCCCAAACAGCTCTAATCATAAATTGTATTTTTGTGCTAAAAGTAGATGTCCAATCACATTAGCATCTTTGAGAAATATTTCTCAATTGCAAGACAATTCATTTGAAAATCAACTGGGGAAAAAAACAGAGAAATTAAAATCTTAAGCACTTTTGTTTTCATCCAGGTTTGACAACTTTACAGATGCAATGTATTTAATGGAGTCTTACAAACAAAATGACTGAAGTTTTTTGGCCCTGACCTTGCAAATGTTTAATAGATGTAATCTCAGACGGAAACACTCCCTATTCATTTGTGAATATGAATGGTTTTTAATGTGTCTATGAAAGCATCCATTGGTGCTTTCTTTGGCCAGACGTAATGCAAGTGCATGTAAACTGAGTGTGTTACTTCCAGTCTTTGCCAAAACCATTTGGCAACCACATCTGTACGTGCAACATGTCAACACTGCAAAGTGTTTTGGGAAAACATGACTACATTTTGGCATTCTGGCTTATAAACCACAGTTTGCAACACACTGCATTGAGTAACAACTTTAGGACAACAGTAATACCTTCAAGGACAAATTCCAAGGCACAAGTTTACATTGATCCTGCACAACCATCAATTTATGTGCCAAAACATACATACAATACATAAGTGATGCCTGATTGAACAGGCAACAGAGTTTTTTGTATGATTGCATTCATTAGTAACATATACATGTAGATGTATGTCTACGGCTATTTATACAAAGAAAAAGAAACATGTCAGGCCTGTCAGTAAATTTTCCCCTTTGTGATGATATAATGCACACATACATACACACATGTACATGTACATAGCAGTCACAAGATTCCACCTTCACCAGCCTTATCTTTGGTGGCTTTATCAGATGTACGGCTTATCTGTTAAACAGTAAAGTTGTGTGCACAAAACAGCCTAGAAATCAGCAGCATGTCCAGCTTGTGGTGGGGGGGGGGAATTCAAAAGCAATTACAGCTTTGGGCTTATTTGACATGATGTTGGAGGAGAAAAAATATCAAAAGCCTTATACGGTTTCGAAATCCTAGCTTTTATTTCATGATGTTGTTTTCTTATCATTTTGGTGCTGATATTTGATACACAAATATTAAAATAAGAATGTGATCAATAAATATTAAAATGAAAATAACAGTGAAAAAATCTGCCACTGCTAGCGATGAGTTGTGGGTCCATCAAAAGAGGTCCGTCTTTCCCAAATTTCCAACACATGAGCAGACAGAGTTTTTACAGGGAAAGGCTTAAGAGCCAGTGACATAAACAACAGCTGATTGGGGCAGACTCTAAGGCAAGTTTCCAGCTTATTTGAGAGTTTTGGAAGTCAGGGTACTATTATGAACTTACACTGCAGGTTGTTTTTGTGTAGTTTAATGACAGGTATTACAAACTCACTAAACTCCACTATGCATATCAGCATAAATGTTGTCTTTTTGTTGTTTTTTCCTGAAGCTTGATGAACCATGGGGGCCATTCATTTTCACAGACTGTTTGGTCGTTAACTCACTGGTTTTATAATCTTGAATCTCATGGCTTGTAAATGTAATTATTCTGGAATATCGGTCTTCTGGAAATAAAACCCAATCTACATCTAGTAATTATGATGACACTGGTTGGTCCCCAAGTGACTATATGTTACACTGATGGTTGCATTATTCACATGTGTGAAGTTTTCGTTGCAGCATGCTGGGGCACAACCATCAATAATGCATCGACAAAATTAACTCTACAGACATCCGGTACATTAAAAATGCCCTGTTCTCACACAAACGTTTAATGTATACAAGGAAATATGGGTGAAACCTAATTATCATAATGTTTACTCCTCTGAAAGTTCTTGATAGTCTTTGTTGTAATTTTTTTTTCAAGAAACAATCAAACATCAAATGTGAATAAAACAGGCGAAGCTACGTTTGACCTGAAATATAACGGCACTTCAAAGTACATCCTCAAAACAATCTAATATTGGAAATGGCCGCAATTCTTACGTCAGTCCTCAAATAACTGCCCATTTCTTCCAAACTTTCAAACACAGATCTGTAATTTTGTGTGTGTTTTGGGTGCCTGCTTAGTTGGGGAAACGGGTCTGAAATCTGATGAGACAACCTACTTCATTTTCTCCCTTCACTAATGGATGGATTTCTACTCTACCTGAATATCTCTTTCTCTCCACGGCAGAGACAGACGACCTACATCAGCAAGACTGAGAGCTTCCACATTGTGGGTGGTGAGATGGGCGAGCTTGCCATTGAAACGCATCTGCAAGATGAGGAGATAAGCCTGGGCAATTTAAAGTCAGAGACCATGACCCCCGGTCAAATACGGATAGGCTTTGATCGTCACTATTCTTTTTTTCCTTTTTTTTGGGTGTAATCTGAATGAAAATCATTCAGTGATAGGTATGCTGGCATAAACTTGGCTAGTTTGGAAAAGGGAACTGATTGGGGCTGATTTCTTCATGCCATGGAAATTTCCTTGACCCTTGATCATCAGTTCTCAATGGGAATAGATTTAGAAACTTTTCAATATAAGGTCTGGCTAGATGAAATGATACACCTGCTGAGCAGGCCTCCGGCAATGTTGGGTTGTTGTAAAGGTCTTGACCACTTTAATAGTTAGGATACAATCAAGCTTTAAGAGCAATCACTACCAATCATGTTCCCATCTTGTCTGCAGATGCAAATCAGTCTTGTTTAAAACTTTCAAATTTCACTATCTACCCAGAAGTTGCAGGTCCATTTATCAAAACAAGCCAAGTTATGTAAAACAGAGTACCAACAGCTCATGAGACAACAAACACAAGTTCACAGTCCAATTTGCTGAGTACTATCTAGTACATGAATTACCCTTCACCCTTTTGTATTACAGCATTTCAAATGGAGTTGTCCTTGAAGATTTCTTCCTTAAAGTGTAGCTTCAGTGGTTTTTTTCTTAAACGCAGTTTTTCCTGAAACTTTGTACTCCTTTATATCAATGCATTGAAGAGTGCACTTCTTTCAAACAGTTAAAATTATCCATACTCTCAGGGTCAACTGAGGGCACTGCTGCCATGACATCGTCCAGAGAAGAAATATGCATAGTTCAGTGAACAGGTGCTACTGTTCAAATTGTGAACATGGAATTTACTTACCAAACACATTTCTGAGAAAGGGAAGAATGCTTGCTTATGTACATAATCAACAGTGAATCAGCAAAATCTACAAATCTACAAAGCTCACAAAATCTACAAATATGCAGGATTTTTCGTATCAACCAATGCAACATGGAGCTTCTTCCTGGAATGACATCACAGTTTTGCTTATGAAACGGAAATACTTCGCATAAAACCCCCAAAAGTAGCAAAATACCCTTTAAAATGGTGAAACAAAAGTTGACAGTCAGGTTGACTGAGACACAAAGGTGCCTTTTGAAGGCCTATAGGCATAATAGAACAAATTGATTGCAGCTACCCTTTAACTCTTTTTGAAGGACGAATAACTTGTACAGTTCCTCACACATGGTTTCTTTTATGCATGATGTTTTGACCTCGAGAGGAGGGAGAAAAAGTGTCTAGCTACTCTGTGTCATCTCCGCGACGACTGGTTGCCGTGGTGTTGTCAACCTCAAAGCAATTGCGTTGCTGTGGTGACAAATTACCCGCAGCCTGTGATGAGGACACTAGCCTAAATTGATTCTGTTCAATTAAAGAGAGTCTAATGCAACATTTATGCTTAGCTTCTCTTGGACCCTTAAGCTACACACCGGATATATAGAATATGGGGTTGCTGTGATACACCTGTACAAGCACATCCAATGTGAGACTATGAGGGTCAGAATCACTAAATATGATGTGCAATCAATTCATATTGCTGCTCATCACATTCATTCTAATGTCACATGAAATAGATGCAATTTCCCCGTAATTGAATCTGTTAAATTAAAGAGATCCCTAATGCAACATTTATGCTCAACTTCTCTGGCATACAAGTACTTAAGCTGCATGCTGGATATCCATGTAACATGGACGGTATGGGGTTGCTATGAGACATTGCAGACATCAAATAAGAGGAATTGTTGGTCAGAATCACTAAATATTACGCACTGCTAGTCACATTCAATTTCATTTCAAATAAAATAATTTCCAAGAAACATTTGCTATTTTCAGAAGGGCTGTGTGATGATGGCATTTGTAATGTAAGTTCGTGGCTTCATCATCCAAACTGCATAAGCGATCTCAAAGTGTAGCCAATAGGCAAAAGTATCATATAATAGTGTACACATACTGTTCTCCAACTGCATCCTTCCTCAAAAACACCTGTTTTTTGCATCTGGGTGTATTACACCAAGAAAAGTAAACATACACACAGAACCAATATCCTTTTTATTACCAGCAGGGGATATACTTGCACACAAAGCATCTGAAAACAGCAAGAACATGTGAAGCAAAGAACAATATCAACACCATATCCAAACACCCAACCCCAAACCTAGACCTGCACGTAAACCCAACCCCCCCAACCCTGACAACAACCCACAAACCAACTCCAAAACTAACCCCAACTCAACCCACCCCACCCCACCCCAACGAAAGCTTACCGATAATGCACATCAACCTATGCATGACACGTACATGGAATAAATCTGTTCAGGCATACGTCCCTCTAGAAATTCAAACTACTAACTGTGCTGATATCGTTTATGAGACACATCTATGGGACGAACGACACAGAAGTTGGTACTGTGGGTCCAGTCTATGTACAGGTACAGTGCAAAACGGCATGGTGTTCTAAAGCACGTGGATTCCGGATGTTCAGTGACTTGGATGCTGGTCAGACTTTTCCATCAGGATATGCATGCATTAATTGCACACATACGGGTATGTAAGGCCCTGGACCGCCAACTGGAAGATATTTGTACCTGCCGATCCATAAAGTTTTTGATGCAGGGAATGAGAGTTTTTGAGAGGGAATGTTTCATTCATGAAGATTGGGATACATTTATGTGGCTTGAAACGCACATAGAAACAGACATGCATTCTTATTAGAAGATTAAATGTACGTACAAATCCTGAGAGAGTAACAGTTTTAATGCCTCTTATTTCAACAAACACGTGTGTGAGCACGTGCAACTTATTTTTCTACAGCCCTCCGTTTTAGGCCATTTGCATACACGTCTTTGTAGAGTTTTCGTGGGAGGGGATATGCATCCAACAAAATTCACAGATGGTTGATGATGTATTTGTTCTACGGATTTTGCTCATGTATTTTCATTGGCATTATTCTTTGTTTTTCTCTCTGATACACAGTGTTTATTATGGTTTCTTGGGTATTTGTTATATAGAATTTTTCCCAGCATGCTGTTTCCATCTTCAATGACGCAGATCCCTCTGCATGCATTACGGCAAATATAAACAGAATTTATATACATGTACTTCATCCAAATTTCATGGACAGCTTTATACATGTAAATCCCATGCATTTTGGCCATTGCATCGGTAAAAGCAGTTTCCCATGAATGTAGACTAGCTAAGGGATGCAGAAAACGTAGAGTACTCGACAAAAATACACCACTGGCCTAAGGCTGCACTCACTTGTACGGTGCTTATTCTCAGTGGCATCCTCTGTCTCTGCACCTGCACCCCCAACAGTCCCTCGCCAAGCGCTGGGTTCACCACGCTGAGTGTGTACACCTCCACCCCCTCATCTGGCACTGCTCCTTTCAAGCCATAGAGGGCTGAGGGGGATTCCTGGGAGGCACAGCCATCAGAGACACAGGATGAGGGCTTATCCTCAGGAGTCCCTTCCCACCACTGCCTGGCAGCTCCATTAACAAAGTTGCGGAGTTGGGGATCATTCACCGCGCCACCGTCATTTGTTTTCCTGAAAACAACAAACATTAGGAGTAACAAAGTGAGAGAAATGATTTCACTTAATTCTTATGCCATCATTAAGTCACAAGGGCTGACAATAATTGTAATGATCACTTCATTTAGAGTAACTAGGGAAGGTAAGTGTGTAATAGCAGGGGAAGCTAGGCGCTTAACTGGGGAGAAAATCCAAGCCTTCTGATGGGAAACCTCAATAACTTAGAGGCAAGTGATACAAAGTAAGCTCTACACAGAAACATGGATAATGTTAACATTGTTTTTGTTGATTTAATGTAACATTTTTTTGTCTCAAATGACTAATTGCCACTGTTTCTTGTGCTTTAAGCCCAGTGGATGGCTTTAAGACACTGCAACACAAAAGGGAGAAATAGCAGGTTGTTGATTGCTGAAAAAGTTTATAAGAGTAAATTGTCTAATTAATGTAAAAGGTACAATTCGATTTTGGGTTTAATGCAAGCTTAAACATATACATAAGCAAACATATATATATACATCAAACTTGAAATGTCAAAAGACAGGACTTTAAGAAGAGCTAAAAATTTTAAACTCTACATGCACTGTCATTACTTGCTGCTCTGTATTCGTAAAACATCTTCATACACTCTGTTTAATTAAAAAGGACTTAAAATTCGATTATACCCGCATATGTGGCCAGCTCCACAAAAATGGGTATAAGGGGACTTTTTTTTTAAATGAGTTACAGACACATTTGAATTAATTGGTCACATTATAAGCTTTAATTTGGTGTAGGCTTGACCCCTGTGGCATTTTGTAATCTGGAGATATAGTGATTTTTGCATAATCATATCATACCCATTATCAGAATTGCTTTCACAGATAAAGCCCTTTAAACACAGGAAGTGGAAAAAGAAGTCAGCCAAGAAGAAAGTCTCTTAATACCCACAGCATCAGTTAGGTTTCTGGTATGAATTGATAAAGTATTGATATAATAGACGCCAATAAACCAAGCAGTAAAAAATCACCCCGCCCACATACAAACGCCCTTAGTGTGAAAAAGCACAGTGTCCCTTAATGCACTTTTTCACAGAGTGAGCCACGTATCATTTTTCCGAATTCTGCATGCCTGAATACATAATCAAAGCTATTACATATACAAGAGCTACTCATTTACCACATCGTTTTCTAGGAACCTTTCAAGAATTTCATAATTTCAAACATTTCGTACACAAAAAAATAACAGGCATGGAAATAAAAGCCTCAATGTAATGTTGTGTAACACTTGTACTCTAAAAACTTCAGCAAACTGGAATTTGATATTTGTTTCAGTTTAATTATGGAAAATGCATGTCAAGTTTCACGTTTCACGTACATGTACCTGTAGCAAATGATTTTATCATGGCACTGTTATTTGTGGTATAACTCAACTATAAGGGGAGGTTGTTATGGTGACGTTTCAGATCTAAATCAAAGTGATATCTATAACATCTGAGAAAAAGAATACAGGGATTGGAACAGAACCAAACTAACTATAAACTGTTGGGATATCCAAACACTACAATAAGCCAGAGATCTTTCATACCAGCCACGAAATAAATCACAACCAAACCAAACTACACGTACAAGTATCACACTTCTGCAGTCCCACCAAGGTTTTATAGAAAAAGCTTACTACCACCCGACTCTAGTACCTATTTATAGAGGGTTTGCATTGCTGGCATCTTGCAGGTCATTGTTTTTGTTCCACAGGATGTGCACCAAGGAGGTTTCCCTGTGGAACACAAGAAATGCCCAGCAAGATGGCTACCATGCAAAGCCACTTTAGGTGAATCTTTTTAGGTTTAGTTTGTCATCAAAATGCAGTACAGAACGCAGGTCTTGAGTTCATTATAATGATCTGTTTTACTGGCATGCCACATGCACATGTTTCAAACAGTAAAGGCCAGATTTACTAACAGAACCTGTCATGGTGGGTGACTAAACTCAGGACCACAGATGATGCCATCTGTCACGTTAGGTTTACAGATAATCAATAAACATCGGGGCACAGGAATTACATACACATCGATGTAAAATGCCTCCAACCTTTTAAAGTTATTAAGGATCATGCCTGACACTGAACATTACCAAAGCCTAATGGTTGCCCTAACATCGATTCAATTGTTTTGAAGAATGCTTCTTTGGAAGAGGAATACTCAATTAGTCCTAATTCTGAATCAATGAAGAAACGGCATCAATTAAGAGATTTCAAGTACCAATATGCCATACCGGTGCATGTAAATGTAAGTCATCTTGATACATGTACATGACGCCAGAGAAAGGTATGACATCAAAGCCACAACTGAGCACCTGCCACACTAATTCCAACCAAATACTTTTTTTCATTAATTAAAATAAACCAAAAATGTAGATTACACAAACATCCAAAAACAATAGTTCTGAAGCGTTTGTCGTTCACACTGCATTTGAAAGTTAACACTTGGAATTGGAGTGGGATTTTTTGGGGGGTGAAAAAGACTTCATTTTCACACAAACACTCTCATTTCACATGCCGTGAAACAGGGATGAAGAGCCCACTGGTGCGAAAATGTGTGAAAATCTTTTTCCTCTGCACCTGTGTGAAAATCTAGGATGATTCTTTTCCCACTTTTGGAAAATCTTTGAAAATCTTTCCCACTTTCCCACACTGAAAATGAATTCCGTGGTAAGAGAAAATGCGTCAAGAGAATTTCACGTTCCCGGATTATTTTTCAATTGCAATGTAGTCTCCATGTAGTTCTCTCTTTGGGTATACTGAATTCATGGTCCACAATGGGACTGTATGACACATATGCTAGTGTCTTTACTGCTACAAAATTTAAAAAGAAAAACCATTCCATTTTCTACTTTTTTTCTTGTCTGATGTCAAATGCTTTTTACTAATGCCTATGGCAAGTGTCCAGATGTTGCTAGCCACTTGTCTGTGGCTCAAAAATGGAATAATCATATTAACCAAGATCACCAATGTATTATCTTATGCATAAGTCAAAATTATCTACCAAATAACAGAACAGTCCAAATAAGGCAAATCCTCCTTTCCATACAATGTGCCTCAGTGTCACTGAATTACCTTTTTTTTAAGGTTAAAGTTCCTTCAAACTGTGGCATGTTTTTTTTAACCTGACCACTTAAAAATGGCACTGTTACATGGGGTGAGAGACACATTCTCAGAGGGATAAGAGAACGGTGGCATTAGGCATCAAAGATCAATCAAAGTTTTCAATCTTACCCATGTAGGAATATGTGGATGCTGGAAAATTACTATGAAAAAAATGAAATTGTGGGAATTCCCGCCGCAGCCTTTTAGTGTAAATAAATTAGTGCAAGCAGTTTTCAAGGACTTGGATGTATACAAAACTATTCAGCATAAATTATTGCCGAGTTTCAAACCCTAGCATTGTGACCCCTTGTTGGATCTAGTTGCAAGGTTCCATCTTCAATTTCCTGATTGCTTCGAGGCCAAGTCATTCCTCGTTTATGAGGAGCATAAATAGGTTCAAAGATCCAACGCAGTTCTTTGTACAAGTGTATGGAGAGTCACAGTACAGTCAGTGAGCTTTTGGGGAAGTTATTTCTGCAGAAATTAGCAAACAAGTATAAATCAGACCAAACAAACTTCCAAGGTCGGCTGTCATATATCCAATTTACATTCAGACATCATAAAACACAAGCCTATAGGCCATGACCTGATCCCTCTGAATCTGAGCCTTTTGCAAGATTAGAATAGCCAAATGGAGCATTCCACATCACATTGGCTAGTGTATCAACCTGCGTCAATCTGCGGGGTAAAATGTAACAGCTTTAAATCCCATTACACCCACAACAAATACGTTCCAAACACCATACATATATTATATGTAAATACAGTGTAATTACACTGGCCACAGCAGGTTAAATAAATGGGCACTGCAAGAAGCAATAAAAACCTGCCCGCATTTATCATCCAATTTGCAGAATTCTATGATGAATAATCACACATGGATGTAGCGCGGGTTGCGCTCTCTCTGAAACCAGCACGGCAACGCTTCAACAATTTTTCAAAATTGCCCATTCTTTTCACAATATTTCAAGGGTAAACTGGGCCCTTTTCAGATGTAGAGTCAACACGTTGTAGATACAGGTTGGTTGCTTTGTTGTGGGATATTTAAATGAAAATTCAATATCAAGATACTACTATGCTGCCATTGTTATCTAGACCTTCAAAATTGAGCTTAATACAAAGGATTAGTGATGAACATGAGCAGACAATGCCTGCTTTTTCCTGTTACAAACAAAACACTTTTTGTACTCTCACTAAATATCTGATTATTTTAAGAATTTCAAGAATGAATATGAGACAGTTAACTGGCCTGGTATAGAGGGTGGAGGTCTGATCAGTAAAATCTCATCAGTATAAAGAAACAAAATTTAAATATAAATTCTAACACTAAAAAAAGTTGAAACATTACCCATATTTACCAACGTTTCTGTTATATAATGTATTTCAAGTACTTAAGCAATGGAGTTATTCACGTCGCAGGTTGCACCGACCAGCCATGGCAACTACAGTACACAGCCATTACGAAACACAAATCAGTAACCATGGTAATATAAGTTCAATTATCCGAGTCCACTGCGGACTGGGGCTTAAGTAGTACCAAAATGCATCAATTATTGCATGCACCGACACGCAATTCACACCAACACGTAATTCGCGGCAAACAAATAGGGAATTTGTAAAAAAAAAGAAATAACATTCAAACACAACTAAAATGCTTGTACAACATGCACATGTATAATCATTTGGAAACACTCTGAGTGGTTTTTTCTTCTTTCCTTTTTGTGTTGTTTGTGTGATTTATTGTTAAGTTTCGCACATCTGTTTGTTTTGGGTATTTTCACACTTATTATGCATTTTTGTCAAAGTTGAAGTTACAGCTAATACTTTTGGATGGAAAATGTACATTCAAAATCTACTATTGTATGTGCATGACGACCACCATCTATGCAGTCACAAGGGGTTTCATGAGCCAACCTAAGTAATTAAAAAAGGGGAAGCCTACACAAATGTGCCGCCAAGATGACATCTGACTTCCTCGTGCAGAGAATGAAAGATGGGACACTTTCTAAAGGTTGTCCTAATACAAACCGGTTGGGACAATGAAAACACACACAGGCCAACCAAAGCAAAGAAGCCGCAGTCTGCATCATACTAATGGCTTGGGCAAATGCAATGGCCTAAATGGACACCCCCCCCTTTCTGCTTCTTTTCCTTTTCACCATTTAATTGAAAGCAAAGGCTGGAGGCATTGAATGGGACATTACTAAGGCATACAGGTCAGCAAACAAAGAGTGTTGTTGGTGACCAAACATCATTCAATTAGTCCCACAATGCGCGCTGGAAACTCAGCGTAATTACGGTTTTATTTATACTCTCATCTGAGAGTTGAGGGACGGAGGAAAACGTACGGCACAGTTATAATGATATTTTTGACCCACAAAATAAAAAAAGCAGACTCATCCTTCGTTGCCTAACATGGTTAGCATAAATGTTTTTATTAGTCATTCAGATATGCCAATGCAGATTTCACGAACTGTATTCATCCAGAGAGATTCTATGATGTACACGTGCATGAGATTTGCATTTCAACAAGAAATAAAACAGGAAGAAATGCAAGAAAAATGACATTTCATAATGACATTTCATAATGAGTAATACATGTAGTTTTCCTGCACATAAAAGAAAAAGAATCCATCTCTATATTGTGTGTTTAGAGATGTAAGAAATATTATGTTTTTCCGATTATTCTACATTTTTACGGTTGCCACTGAAGCAATACAGATCTTGTGTTTTATTTCAACAAAGGTTGGGCACTTTAAGAAGTCATCTTGATTTTCAACTGCTGTAGGGGAAACTAAAAATGGGGTCGGTCAGTACCAAACCTTGTCTGAGTTGAAATTCAACAGAGCTTTAGTGAAAAATGAGTTCAGGATCATAAAATGGACTGCTTGCAACTGATGAAGACAACTGGAGCATTAGTCATGATATACTATGCACAACATAAAAGTTGTACTTTACATTACACACGGCGTAGCTATGTACATGTACTAAAGCTCTGCTGCAAAAATCCCTCTGAGCATTTGTTCACGCATGTACATATCATACGTACATGAAGCTGCTAGTTTGTGAAGGAGAAAAATGTAAAATACAAAATTACAAGTGGCAGTGAATAGAAAACAAGACGTCAGTCTTCCGTAAGTACGGGCAATTTTTATCGAGCCAATTTCTGCTGTTCATAATCCTCTTTGGGACAAATCAGTACAAAAATCTTAAGCCCAAAAAAAGATACGGGAACCCTGTTGGTCTAGAAAAGGGCTATTTTCTTATTTCTGCATTTTCTAAATCATAATCATGTCCTCGTTTAAAGCTAGCAGTCTTCAATTCTCCATCGGTTTGGGGGATTGAGGCCTGTTTTGTATTCTTAGTCGATCATTGTTTTGAAGCCAAAATATGTGCGCACAGGTGTTTCTGTTTGCACCAACACAGCTAAAAATGGTAATAAAATAACCATGTTGCAAACCCACGCCTGGAGCAATTTCCATCCATTTTACTCCGTCTTGAGTTGAAAACGTGGGCAGATTACTACTTTTCAGAAAGTATCTTCATACAACATTCAGGGGCTCGTATTTGAAATGCAAATTAAAGAAAAAAAAGGAGCCAACAGAATAAAAAGTAAAGCTGTGATGGAGATAGGGGCCAATTTCATAGAGCTGCTTAAGCACAAAATTTGCTTAAGTGCCAGAAAACTTTGCTTGATGTATCGGGTAACCAGCCAAAACTACATGTGATGTATATTGCTTTGGGAGTGTATTTAGCTGTCTTTTGGTTAGCATGAAAATCATCTAGAGTTTGAGCTGGTAACCTTTGTTTTTTTTTAAGCAAGGCTTTTCACGCTTAAGCAAATTTTGTACTTAAGCAGCTTTATGAAATTGGCCCTTGTTCTCATCTATAACATATCTCGATTTGAAAAGCTGTACGAAACACACTGTGATATCACATGACCACACTGATGCTGAAATCATGAAACTGGCTCAGTTTTATGACAACTCCCTATGTACTCACTTGAAAATAATAGCCTGGTGAAAATGAAATCTGCTTTGTATGGTAATATTCATATTAGCAATGGCTGAAAATTCAAGATGCAAATGACCATGGAGAAAAATGAAACGCAGCTGCATTTTGAATGAGAAAGCATGTTTGACATTACTCAATATAATGCAAAACACAAAACGAAAAAAAGAAATGATCGTTCATCCCTAAAAAGATCAGGGAAAAAACAACAACATATTTTCATCCAAACGTGAGTTATCTGAAAACATTTCTTGAATTAAGGAGATTTTACATGAAATGACCCACATGCAGTCTAAAAACTACTTGCTGTATGTACTAGACCACAAAACAGTAAAAAAAAAAGAAACTAACCCAAAACTGCCAAGTAGGACTTGATTTTTAACAGAAACGATGCGGCCACTGACATTCCACATGGTCAACGACACGCAAACCAAAACCTCTGCAAGATGGCATCCTACAGTCTCAACATTTGGAAGATTCTGTTAACTGTGAACAAGCACTGTCAAGCCACTCTGTGAATTGCCTAACTTTTTATCCTAACGGCTCTGATGCTTTTGCCTAACTCTACGTAAAGGAACAAACAGGTCATTCCTGTGGTGCCCAACATTTGTGTATGATTTAATATAAATGCTGCATCAAAAGTTTACATTGTTTTGCAGTTTCCTATAAAACAGGCACATACATGTATGCACTACATGTAATCTACAGCTATGCAATACCTAATAGAGAAAAACAAATCATGAGCTTACTTTGCCTAACTTTCATTTATTTCGGTAGTTATTTTCAGCAAATTCTTCAAGCAATAAAGGTACATGTAATCTTTGTGACTGATTACCTTGAACAAACCTTGGAGGAAAAGAGAATGGTAGTAAAGGGCTTCAACTTAGTTGTCCAGTAAACATCGTGTTTGAATTTACACAACTCAAATAATTAGAAAAAAAAATACTTCCTCAGTGAAAAGAATGTTTAGTACCTTAGAATATCAGCCCCACGTCTGAATCTTTTGTAACCCACAAAGATACTCTAGACCTTATTCATACAATAAAATTAACGAATAGCAAATTAATTCATTTGAAGGAACT